TCTACTTTGATTTTGGTTAAGGTGGATTATCACTTACAGTGTAATCAGTGAGGGGATTCTACAGACTGTTGAGGGTTCAGCCTCCTGATGAGTCGGTGAAACTCCGACGAAACAGTTTGTCACAGCCCCTCGTTTGTTGCCCTCTTCTCCCTCTCTGCCTACGGTTTACCGGGCAGTTCTATTTGACGATATATATATATATTTATTAAACTGATCAGAACAGATACTACACTTGATCTTAGCCAAAAAAAAAATAAAAAAAATTCAGCTGGGTCCAAATAGAGCAATTAATTAAAAGCGTAGCGCATATCGGCATGGGTTGTGTGCTGGGATTGACAAGCAGGCATGAGGAGATAGGGCCTAACCCCAATACGCAACACTGCAACAGTACCTGGAACTGGTATAATATACTCGAAATACATTCTGAATTCTCAGCGGTTTCGAGTGCATTGAGACCACGTCGCGGTCCAAATACACGTAGAATGTTCTGTATGTATGTAAATGGAGCGAGGCCCATAGTGCAAATCTCGTCGGGTTTCGATCTCCCGCCCTTTGGGATAATGTAGAGCGAAGGCGGGTTGCGGTTGGGATTGGGATTGATGCGGCGGCGGCGGCGGCGGTTCATTAATTCAAGCGGGGGCTACCCGTTCGCGCTATGTAGCAGCGCAACTCAATTCCTTCTGGGCCTTAGATAGGGCGGGAAAGAGGATGACGTTGGCGGGAATTGACAGCGGCCCTGGCGCCAAAAGTTGGCGGTAAGCGAGAGCGGTCTTGGCGCCAAAAGTAGCGAAGCGAAGCTGGTTTTGCAATGACAATTCTTTTGCCACGTCAGACTTGCGCGGGCGGAGGGACTTCTTCGCGAACTCCCTCCTACGTACGTACGTGTGTGGAACTTCCAGCATTCGGAGTGGTAGCGGTGATTAATTAGACTCCATGTGAGAACGGGGGGGAGATTGCGGTGGTTGATTGGTTGCTCTCTCTCCCGCCGTGTTGATTGGTTGATTGGTTGATTGGTTGATGGTTGATTGGTTGCTCTCTCCAGCCGTGTTGATCGGTTGATTGGTTGATTGGTTGATTGGTCGCGCGCTGCACGATGCCGATCATGGAGCCCTCTGTTGTTCCGCACGGAGGGCGAGCGCTTCCTGAGCTGCGTCTCCGAATTGGGCTAGTGGAAGAAGTGAAGAGGAAGATGGAGATGGTGAGTGCTCCATAGCTCTCGAGTTTGCATTCTACCTACCTTCCTCCTTCTCTTTGTTTGGCCTTGCCCGGATTGCTGTCTATAGATCTCTCACCCTCACACCCTTCCCTTTTCTCTCTCTTCCCTTACCCCTTCATTTATTTCTTACTCCTGCAGTTTGAACCCTCGACATTCTCCTCTTCTAAGCCATCTCTCTCTCTCTCTCTCTCTCTCTCTCTCTCTTTTTAATGTCATCCGGCCCTCTTCTTTTCTCTTCTGCTTACAATACTTCTGCTGTTGGCTATTGACATGTTTGTATGTCCTGCCCTCCTCCCCCCCCCACCCTTCCTCCCTCTCCATTGGTTGCCCCCCTTTCCTTGTCTCCCTTCTTCGCTCTCGTTCTTTCTCGTCTCCCGCCCACCCCCGCCCCCTTCCTTTCCCTCCCTCCCTCTTGCCCGGCTGTTCCTTCTTGCTGTCGACGTTATCTTGCCGCTCGATTCACGTCTCCACTCTCCCCGGTTTCCTCAATTTTACGTTCTCATGGATTTTTGCTCTCACGGCCCATGCTTGTGCCACTTAGGCTCCTTTTCTTGGTGTTCTTCCCTCCCTCCCTCTCTCTCTCTCTCTCGTTTGCATTCTGTGTTCTTTCCTCTCTCCTGGTCGTGTCCGGCTTTCCGTTTTCTCGTCAGGCATTGCTTCTCTTGC